TCTGTCTGTCTGGCGAGCACACACGCCCTATAGTGAAAACCTCTGAAATAAATAAATAAATAAATAAATAAATAAAAGATAAACAGTATGAAGTGTACAAGGTTTACTCTACAGCAGTCGTTCACCATATGAAGTTTTTACTAATCTAAACCAAAAAGACAAAAAAAGGTACTCATTACATTAGTTTTTTAAGCTATATATAGTTATCTTCCTTTAGATTAAATGTTCTTTTCTGGGACCAGCAGATGCTGAACTCCCACAAAGTCAGCCGTGGTTCAAGTCCCTGACCCAGTGGCTTTAAACTCATGCTGGCATGTGCACCCAAAATCCTGAGAGGAGAATGAAGGAAAAGGGACTGCGGCACGGCCATCCCCCCCAAGGGGTGATTTCTCACTGTCTCTCTCGCGAACACACGTGCCCTATAACAAAAATCTCTTTTTAAAAAAATTTTTAAAAATGTTCTTCCGTGTATGAAATGATGAGAAATAACACATGTAACTTGGGTTGCTTTTTTCAACCATCATTGCTTGGCAAAATAAAAATCTAATCTAGATCAGTTCCCAATTCAGTTTTTCAAAATTATACAAATGAAATAATTGCAGAACAGTATATTAATGTATCAAGAAGAAAGGTGACCAATAAGATCTGACTAGAAGGGACCTAGGAAAGAGATCAGGGCTACTGATAAAGACTGAAAAGTTATCTGTGTAAAAGTGACAGAAGCCATGAGAGCTTCTAGTTCTCCAACTGAAATAGTTAGAGAAATGGGAATTGAAAATTTAACTTTGAGGGATGCCTTCAAAGTAAGCAGAAAAGAAATCAAGGAAGAAAACACAGACAGAAAGATGACCCAATATTTCCTGATGACCCAATATTTTACACTCAATATAAAGCCTAACCCTAACCCTAATCCTAACTGTCTCTGTCCATCTCTTTCCAGCAAGCACATGTGCTCCACAGCAAATTATGACAAATAAACTAAAAGCTCAAACATACAGCTTTTATATAGCAATCATACCTCAATATCGCAGTTTAAAAATGAGAGTGGGGACAAGCAAGGAAGAGGTACAAAAATGAGGGAAGGGCTAAAACACAGGTATGAGTTGCCACAGTCACACTGCAATGGAAGTATAATCTACTTATTTCAGAAGTGAGTCAGGGACTAGCAGTTAGCATAATGGCTATGTCACTGGACTCCCATGTAGTCGACCGTGGTTCGAGTCCCAGACCCAGTGGCTTAAATTCATGCCAGGCACATGTGCATATGTGCCCAAGATCCCGAGGAGAATGGAGAAGGGATTGCAGCGTGGTCATCCCCCCTGGGGGGTGATTTCTCACTTTCTGACTCTCTGTCTTTCTGGCAAGCGCACATGCTCTACAGAAAAAGACACTCCAAAAAAAAAAAAAAAAAAAAAAGGAATTGAGTCAAAGAAGAACTCCTTCTCTACTCATAATGAAATATTGATATCACGGTCTGTATTAGTATCTTTAGCCCAGATTTTCTCTCAGATAGGAAATAAAAACCGTAATAAATGCAAAAGCATTAGAGCACCAACGTCCAAGGGCTTTAAGCATTTGCTCCATCATACCACTGTCTCCTTGGGTAAATCCTCCAATCCATTTCTTTACCCATAAAATGGAGATAGATTCTACCTTACAGATATACCAAAGCAAAAATATATGTCACTATAAAGTATCAATATTTTATCATTAACAACTAAGTTTCAAAAATTAACTAGGTGGGACCAGGAGATGGCGTAATA